ATAACATAGGCACATAATTTAATTATATGCTTAAAATTATTTTCAATTGACTTTTTACCAAATCTATTTTTTAGTAGAATTATATAAAACCGGTAAATCATTTAGAAAATATTTCTCAAAGAATTGTTAGATTTTCAACCCAAAATTATTAAGTTTGACAAAATATTGCATAAGAATGAAAGTAGATATGGTGTGCCATATTTTTCTCTTTCTTTTTCTCATTATTCTTATAAGAAAAATATTTGAAAGTTCTAATTAAGCATTCCTAATCCACCCACAATGACATGGAATGACCATATGAAGAGCGACCCACACTCCTCATTCCTTCTCTCTCTGTCTCTCTATTTTCTCTCTCTCTTCTGTCTCATTAGAGGTCAATATGGAGATGATGTATTAGGGTATGTAACACCACTCTTATTATTGAGAGCTCGTTTGGCATAAAAAAAGTCAAAGGCTTTTTGGCTAAAATAGCCACAAAAAGACAAAATAGACTTTTTAGCCAAATAAGACAAAGCATCACATCTAATCCATAATCATTTTATTTTCTCTTACAAAAATCAAAAAAACTAAAAAACATATTCCAAATGACGCTTTTTAGCCCCAGGTTAATAACCAAATAGCCAAAAAGTCAACCCACATCCCAAACGAACCCTAAGTCTCATGAATTAGAGGTCAACATGGGGTGATATATTGGGAGATGTAACACCACTCTTATAATTGAGTCTCATGAATATGGGTTTGTTAGGAAAAAAATAGCTTAAATAAATTAATATATATATATATATATATGATTATTGAAAAGTAAGAGAAAATGTGTATTTAAATTCTACCTTATGATTTTCAGCATTCAACTTGTTAGAAACTACATCAAACAGACTTTAATAATCTTCAATTGGAAAAGACTCGGCTATTTATTGTGTTTAGTTTGGGATATAAAATCATGCAATTAAACTATGGCATATTTTGAGAGGTTGGTTGGAAGTTAATTTTTTTGACTTTTTTCAGATTACATCATATTTTTATTTTATTTTTTTGTACGTTTTTTTAAAGAAAAGTCAAAAAAAATCAAAAAAATAATTTTTAATTTACTACCCAAAACAGACTTATGTCCAATCAATTCTAAATTCCAGCTTCGGATATAAAAAATGAGTCTTTGAATGGACACTTTTCTCATGCTATATATTTAAGAAGACTATTGAGTCTAATGAGTAGATGTGATACAAAATTAACCGATTAAGAAAAGTTTAGATTAGTAGATTAAAAGACCTCAATACTCTCAAATTATAATCATTACACCATGTTATCTAAGTCTGCTTGTTACAATTTCTAGCAAGTTCAACTACTTTCTAATAATCAACTTCTTTTAAAAATTATTCAAATTTATTTTTGTCTCATAAACTATAAAGAAAAGTTACACTAATTACTTTGACACAAATTTTTTAAATTATATATATATATATATATAAACAACTTCATAAATAATACCAAACAATCTCTGGGGTGTTTGTTTGGTGGGATTAAGGTAACAACTACTTTCTAATAATCAACTTCTTTTAAAAATTATTCAAATTTATTTTTGTCTCATAAACTATAAAAAAAAGTTACACTAATTACTTTGACACAAATTTTTAAATTATATATATATATATATAAGCAACTTCATAAATTATACCAAACAATATCTAGGGTGTTTGTTTGGTGGGATTAAGGTATGGGATTAGACTCCATGTCTAACAAAGTGGATAATCCGATGTTTGGTTAGAAAAGTAAAGGCGAACTAATAGTCTGGTCAGACTAATAATCCCTAATATGTGGGATAACACAATTCCATGAGAGTGTGGGATAGAAATGGGGAGACTCTGGATTAGCTAGTTAAATGATGAAATTAACCTTTAAGTATATATATATATATATATAATTTTTTTTTTTCATTTTTAAATTTTTTTTTAAACATGTGTAAATTAATCTCATGATATATAATCCCATAATTTATTTTTTTCATTTTTAAATTTTTTTTTAAACATGTTGCATTTTTTAAACATGTGTAAATTAATCTCATGATATATAATCCCTAATATGTGGGATAACTCAATTCCATGAGAGAGTGGGATAGAAATGGGGAGACTCTGGATTAGCTAGTTAAATGATGAAATTAACCTTTAAGTATATATATATATATATAATTTATTTTTTTCATTTTTAAATTTTTTTTTAAACATGTTGCATTTTTTAAACATGTGTAAATTAATCTCATGATATATAATAGTCTTCTCCAACTTTTTTTTTCTTTTTCTTTTTTGTATTCGCAAAATCATAGATAAAATTATACTTCTAATGTCGTATTTAAATAAAATTAAAAATGGTTTTCGTAAAATAAAATAAAATAAAATATACTTCAAATAAAATGAAAAAAATATATTTCAAATTTTGTATTGTCATCGTAAACAATTTAAACAATGCACTTTATAATTTTTAATGAAATTCACTAAAATAATCATTTTCAAATATTTAATCCTATAAAAAAAACAAATATGAAATACACATTATTTCCAGCCAAATAGTCGAGAGATTATTTATTTCAGGACTATTCTTCAGTGTGTTTGGTTTGAGTTTTTTGAATTAAGTTTTTTAAAAATTGAGCTTTTTGTTTTTTTGTATTTTTTTTATTTTTAGTAAATATTTTAAAATTTTAAGCATTTTTTATATTTTTTTTAGATGCATCTTACTTAGATGTGTCTAAAAAGTAAAATATTTGTGAAAAAATATTTTAAAAAATTAATAAATACACAAAAATACCAAAAAAAAAATGTATTGAATTTTTATTTTTTTTTTTTTTTGTATTTTTGGTATTTAGTGAATTTTTAAAAAAAAAAATCGCAAAAATTATATTTTTAAGTGTATTTATGTTAGGAGTATCTAAAAATTAAAAAAAAAATCCTTAAAATATTAAAAAGAAAATCTGTAAAAACAAAAAAAAAAAACGAAAAATAATAAAGTAAAATTTTTTTAAAAGTGCTTTTAGAAAACTCAAACCAAGCAAAGTAATGGTCCTTACATTACAATCCCCCTTATTCAATCCATCTAAACAAACATAGCCTATGCCTACTAGTTGTGGATTATTATTTTTTTAGGAATATATATATCCTATTTCCATTTTCAAAATGTTTCGGAGTAACCTTTGGCTCTTTTTTTTTTTTTTTTAATTTATTTAAAAAAATCATAACTCTAAAAACTAAAACTAAACCGTAAACAAAATCTATCACACTATTTTTATAAATCTTTTGTATAATTTTTCTATTTATATTTTTTTTACTGTTTCTAGGAAATCAATTCTTGGTCATACTCTCTTGTATCTGACCATCTGTTGGTATTTTAATGTTCTTTGGAGTCTCATACTTCATAATGCAACTTATTTTAAATTGACAAAAATTAAACTTGTATTAACCATATAATACTAAATAATTTGGGGTAATTGATCAAGCAAACAAGGGTCAAATTCACATGAACTAGCTTCTCAGTCAAATTCATATAAATCTTATGTGCTCATAAAATTTACATGTTTTATAACTATTTTACTCTTTAAATATTGAGACAATGCATATGAACAGTTACAGTATAGAAAAATAAATAGTTTTTTTTGGTACATCGGTGGTGGTTTTGTTAATATCACTTCGTTTTTCTGTAACATATTATTGTTTATTTAGATTTTGAATTTGTGAGGGATTTATAGAGGGAAACTTTAAAAGAGAAAAAAACAAGAGAAACCAAATAAGATTTTGTTCATTTTTTATTTGTTTTTCTTTTTCGTTCACAAATTACTTTACATAAGTCAAAATCAAAACACAATCTGAATAAAAGAAGTAAATTGAGATATAGGAGAAAACTAAAACAACTGTGTAGTCTATTGCAACATTTCCGACTAAGAAATGCACACAATCGTCCTCAAAAAAAAAATTTGGTACACTCACATGACATAATCTTTGACAACGTGGATTTAGGTCCATGGTCACAAACCTGTTACTTGGCAGACAAAATTGGTTGAATGCATGGAAAGATTGATAGTGTTATTTTTTTCAGAAAAAAAAACAAAAAAACAAAAAACAAAACAAAACATGAACTACTAATTTGATATTTTCAAATATTCCTTTTTTCATTTGTTCCCATAATTTGATTCAAAATATATAGATTAGTTCTATTTTACTTGTCACGACCATAATTTGATTCAAAATATATAGATTAGTTTTATTTTACTTGTCACGGTACATTTAAATCTACCCTACGAAACAATCTCAGTGGGTAGGGATATGAACTTTGACAATTCAATTAGACTTTTCACTCTTATAATTTTACTCAAATTTTATTTTGATCCTCGTATTTTTAATTTAAACAATTCGATTCCTACACTTTAAAAGTCAAATTTCAATTTAATCCTTCTATTCAAATTTGGTTAATTTTTTGTACGATTGATAAATGCAAAATCGTTAATTTTAACTTCCAATTTAAGCAGAATAACCAAATTGAAATTAGATTTAAATTATGAAAAATCAAAATAAAATTTGAATCAAACTAGAGGATCAAAAGTATAATTAACTTCTTTTTCATTTGAATGCCGGCAAAAATTAGTATTAAATCAATCATCTGACAAAATAATCCAACATTGACCTAATATTTCATTTTATGCATAAATTATTTTCAATTGTAGTGAATCCATTATAGGGTGAATTATATAAAATTGGTAAATCACTTAGAAAATATTTTTCAAAGTCGTGGTAGATTTTCAACCAACTAAATCCATTTTAGAGTGAATTATATAAAATTAGTGAATCACTTAGAAAATATTTTTATAAGTAATGGTAGATTTTCAATCTAAAATTATTCAGTTTGACATGTGATTGCATAAAAAACCATAGATAGCGTGTGCCAGGTCTCTCTTCCCTTTTTTTCAAAAAAAAAATGAGAATTATTAAACATGAAGGTAGCCACTAGAATCTACGAACTTATTGAAACAAAAAACTAAACTTGATCAAGAACCCTATATTCATCCACAGTTTTTCATCCTAAAACATCCTCAATCATAAAGAACTACTAAACTCAAATGTTCCAACAGCTAAACTTAACAATAAAAAAGAAACATATGCTAATATATTACTAAACTCAAATGTTCCAACAGCTAAACTTAACAGTAAAAAAGAAACATATGCTAATATATGTTATGAACATCGAGTATTTTTCTCGATCTTTTATTCCCCATCTTCTCCACCTACTATTCCATTCCGTTCCATTCCTTTCGCTTGCCTCTAGCTATGCCTAAACTCGAGTTCAGATCCATACTTTACATATTCGCAACCTCCACTATTAGGTCATCTATCAACAATTTCTCAATTTCCCTACCTATCGCGTCCACGCCATACCCAAAATCAAGCCACTGCATCTCCCTATCCAACACCCTCTCTGTCACGTCCTCATACATGCTCTTCTCTTCACTTGCCAACAACTTATGCAGCTCGTAACCGATCCCATGTTTCTGCCATGTAAGGCCCACCTTCCTTGTTGCCACCTTCACCCATGGGAGTGGATCCACGAACTGATGGAACATTTCAAAGAGCCCGGAATTTATGCGGTCAAACAGGAGCTTCCTTTCAGACCTCAATGGCGTTGTCTCATTGGAATACTTCTTCTCAAGGTTGTCAAATAAACAAGGGTCCAGAGGGCAATCGAAAGAGTACCACGTTGACACGAAAGTGTAGGGGTCAGCATCATCATATCCAAAGTCAATTAGCACATCACCTAGATAGAAAGATTCCCAACTCTCATCATTAAATACTTCATTTTCCTCAGAGACTGAGACAAATCCTTGGCCAACATCTTTGTCATTTGGCGTAAGCATTAGTCCATTTGCATTTGCTCCAGACTCCATCTTGAGTAGCTTAAGCTGCATTCGAAGCCCTACCAGTAACAAAGAACATAAAGAGAAATTAAAGCAGAGAAGTTAAACTGTAGTTTATCGTACAATGATTGATGTAGTATATGGAATGGACTTGATCTATGCTTATTGAAGGCCAAAAAAAGGTGAGATCAAAAATTAACTTAGCTTACGAAGATTCATGTACCCTAATCCAAGATAAACCGTATAAAGCTAGTGAATCGTACCATTCTGGGCTCGATTCTAAGTTGCTCACACTATACTCCTCATTAAAAGTCAGAAGGGTATCAATTCATTATCTGTATAAGATAAATGCTAACCCATTGTACCTATGATGTTCCAATATTGCAATGAATTTTTTGTTATGATTTGTTAACATCATGGCTTTTGTATATGGGCCTAGCCAACACAACCTACAGAACAAATTAGATGCAACGACCACAATTCCGACAGTTCCGACACACTAGTAAATGAATAAAAAGTTTTTATTTGGGTTACCGTGAAGATCAGCATTGACTCTCTCAAAGCATTCTGAACCAGGTGATATTACATTTACATCTTCCACAAATGGGGCTTCCAAAACTGAAACCGGACTCGGATGATCAGCCTCCTTTGAGCTTGCTGGAGATTGTGGTTCAGGTACTGGACACTGCAGCTGAACTGACTCTTCTTCAGATGGCCCAATTTGAGGTACCTGGGACATCATAAATGAATAAGAAGAATATCTTCAAACGAAAAAAGTAACATCATTAATTTAATTATATTCACAGGAAGTATTTTGCAAGCATTTAATGTATGTATAATGCATTTATCGATGATAATGTAAAATAGAATCTCCAAATAAATATTTATATCATGCACCATCAATGATCTACAAGTTTCCAGAAAATCAATCCATTTCTAGCAAAATCAAGCCTCCCGAAAGGAAGCAAATGATGAATAGATGAAGATATAGAGCAAACTGATTCTGGTTTGGGAGAGGGCGGGGAACCAGAAAAAGTAAAATACATAAAGTTGTGGTTACACATTTGTATGTGCATACAAATGCGATTCCATACTTGTTCACTCTATGTGGGTCCTCGTATGTCAATATATATATATATATATACAAAGACCAAACTGGGATTGACAGATCTGTTAAAACACATTTTAGATATAATTGATAGAGTACCACAGAAACAATTACAAAAACCATAAGGGCAATGGAGAGTTTTGAATCAACTGAAAAAGAAAGAAAATAAAAAAAAAACAGAAGATAAACAGTTAGAATCAGGATAAAAATATTCTGAACTCTAAAGCTTTCTCAACACTATATTTTTTTTTCCATCAAATTTTAAAAATAAAAATAAATGAACTCCTGCAATGTCCCACTTTCTGATAAATTCTACAGTGGATAAACAGTTACAAAAAGTCAAACCACCAATATCATGCAATCAGCCCACTCTTGTAAGAAAGGAAACGTTAGGTTTGGTTAAGATGTGGATTCAAAATACTAACAAGGATCTACAATATAAAATATCAAGAGAAGGAAAAGATATAGTAGTCCGTTAATGTACAAATCACACTGATACTAATACTTCCAAACTCAAAATACTTCTCAAAATATGCTTTTGATCTTATGATACACGTTAACGTCAAAATATATAAAAATAGAAACAAACAAAAAAGTAAATCAAAATATATAAACATATGTACAAAAAAAATTTAATGATTAGATAGTGATATACAGAGCAGTTGTGAATGTACAAATCACACTGAAACTACTTTCCAAACTTAAAAATACTTCTCAAAATGTTTGCAACTGTGTGGGACTTTCTAGATCATGTACCGTATCAATGCTTTTGACCTTATGATACACATTAACCTCAAAATATATAAAAATACAAACAAACATAAAAGTAAATCAAAATATATGAACATATGTGCAAAAAATTTAATGATTAGATAGCAATATACAGAGTAGTAATGTGTTTTGCTCATGCATAATATATGAAGCCAATATTGACTTATTCATTCTAATAATATAAGTTAACTACTTAGTCCGCGCACAACAATTAGTGGAACGGGACAAAATTTGATAATTGTAGGAATTCAAAAACGATATCTATGTTGTTATATACAGGCACGGAAATTAACAAAAAGGAAGCTAGTACGTGCTTGCACTCAACAATTATAAAGAATAATGTAAATGGTTGGAATGAATATATATATATATATAAAAAGAGCAATTATTAAATTCCAAGCAACATGAGAAAAATGTGGCATTAAATTCCAAGCAATGTAGAGAGATATAGATGCAAAGGAGAGCAAGGAAAGCATCAACTGGCAGACCTGAACTGTCCTACCCTATTAAGATAGGGACGCAACAAGGTTAAGTGGGGTACGCTTGCAAATGGGACAAGCTGAATTAAATTGGATTTGGAGCGGGTACAGCTTTGGAATGCAAGCTTGCTAGAGAATATTTTAAACATCACTATTAACTTAGTGGCTTTGCATGGATAAGATGTCAAGCAAGGACACCCAATTCCACAAAAGAATTGGCAGTTTTCAATTTAGCCAAGTCAATGTGGATGAGCATTATAACATGACGCAAAATGACATGAGGCAACCTCGATTGAACATAACAGTAATGATACAAATAACACAAGATAATTGGATGATTACATAACCATCCATCTTAGAGGAAAATGCACTCTAGTGTGTATTATAAAAGGATAAGATGTCAAGCAAGGACACTCCCAATTCCACAAAAGAATTGGCGGTTTTCAATTTGGCCAAGTCAATGTGGATGAGCATTATAACATGACACAAAATGACATGAGGCAACCTCGATTGAACATAACAGTAATGATACAAATAACACAAGATAATTGGATGATTACATAACCATCCATCTTAGAGGAAAATGCACTCTAGTGTGTATTATAAAAGGAAAATTTATTATAATAGGAACCGGGAACTTTATATTTAAAATAATATAAAAAATGTCAACATCATTAAAAAAATTCAAATAAAATTCGGGGAAGAACCATACAGGTTTATCCAGTTACATAAGGTTAGTCATGATGAGCTTGCATATGACAAATTTACCAATCCAAAGCAATCCAAAAAAAAAATCCTATTTATTTCCTGAATGTTTTCTTTACGAGGAAAAAAATCAAATATAATGACTAAAATTTAGAGTAGGGTTTTGGCCAGATAAAATGAAGAAAAAGGGCCCCAATACTCCTAGAGAGTTGTCTTCTAATAGTGTGATCCATCCAAGCCTACCCTAAACGTACCACATTTAAGAGCATGTAGCAAACATGTTCCAATTAACGTTCCTTGTACTGGACTAATCTGCATTCCAAGCAACATAGTACTAACCATATTTCCAGTTTAGTTCTTATGTCCTCATCTGAGCATCAACCAAAGGCTTTAGGATGATAAAACAATGGAGTGAAGAAGTAAATATAGATATAAAAAAATATGTACATTTAAAAAAAAAAGAGGGAGGAGGGGAGAGAGAGATAGAAAGCAATTTCAATCAGGACGTCATGACGGACTACATTGTTTTGTTGCCTTATGATAAAAATCTCCCACCAATCTTATTAGATTGTTGTGAAAATTGATTCCAAGCACATAGCCTCAAGATATAACGAAGTCTACTAATGTCTAATTGCATCTTACATCATCACAAAAAAAATTGCCTAAAAATAGGCATGCCACTTGTTGCGATAAACAAAATGACTACAATACCTTCAAGCGAGAGCTTTAATTGTTGCAAGAAAGAGAACTCTCCAATTCTACATAAAAAAAAAGAATTGAAAAACCCGACCCACACTTCTCTTTAAAACCCAAGTGCTAAAGAGAGAGAAACTGGAGCCTTATAACTAGCACAGATAAGGCAGCTCCAGGCAATGTGGAATACATTCCAACACACCCTCTTGGACCACAACATACAGCAGCCGAACAGACGATACACCAATCACAGGCCCAACCAAGCCCTGATACCAAATTGAAAAGCTCAGCCCACACTTCTCCTTAAAACACAGGTGTTTAAGAGAGAGAAACTAGAGCCTTATAACCAGCACAAATAGGCTAACTCCAGGTGATGTGGGACACATTCCAACAGAAAGCACTAAAGTTTGAATTGGAGTGGATGGAACCAATCACAAAGGCAAATGAGCAAGAGAAGCGAGAAACAATCGAGAGAACAACTATGATTTCTTGCTTCGCATGTAACTAGTGTTGGGAGCACAAATCTAAAATGTTTCAACTCCTAACCGACTGTTGTGCAGTCGGGAGCAATGTTGACTGCAAAAACAGTGGGAAGCACAACACAATTCTAAAATGTTGAGAGCACAAATTCAATTTCTAAAATGTTGACCGCAAAAACAAACAAATTCCATTTATTATGAGGGGAAAATGTTTCAGCTTGTCATTCATTTGACAAACGATTGTTTTATCCTCAAACCTAGAAAGCATGGATATGGACACAAGTATCATAATTGGTCAAAATCTAAGAAATTGGGATATAGGTACAACAAAGATATATCAATAATAAAATATATTTTCATTATTATAGAATTAAAATAGGGCAAATTACAACCCCAAGGGGTTGGGGCTAGTGGGAGCAGCTTGGGGCCTGGGGGTGTACTCCCGCCAAGTCTCAGGTTTAGCTCTTACTAAGTGTCATCAACTCTTTGAGGTCACACTCGCAGGCTCTACCCAAAATTTATTTGTTATTCGATTAGAAATTTTAAAGAGTGGGGCGTAATTTCCAAAACTACCACAAGCAATTAGTATTTTAAGCAAACTTCAAAGGGTGTATTTGTAATTTTCCCATTAAAATAACAATAATTTTGAATTATTATTTAATATTAATATTTTTTTTAAATCAATAAAATAGCATGAATTTTCTTGTAGTTGAAAATAATATTACTAAAATGATTCCAACAATATCAAAACATCCATCACATGGCAACATAAAAAGGCAACTTGAAAAGCACTCATGATAGCAACAAAGGCTAAGAAGCACGGACACAGACATGTGACACGACATTGACAAGCTAACACAAAATTTTCAAAAAATATACACATGACATGTGGGGGCCACGTACAAAATATATAATTTTATATATTTATTATATGTCATATATAAGGACACATAATTATTATATATCACATATAAGAATATTTAAGTAAAATGTAATAATGTTTGAAGTCAAAAGTAGAAAATTAGATATAAATTTATATTGTTTTATTTTATCATTGTTTTAATTTTTATTAGCATTCTCATTTTTTAAAGATAAAAAATTAACTCGTCCTGTCTCTGTCCCTGCCGGCCCCAATTTGTCCTACCCTTGATATGATACGGGCAAGGACGGAACACTATAGGTGTGTTTGGTTTGATTTGGTTTTGAGAGATAAATTTTTTAAAAAAAGAGTTTAGAATTTTTTTTGATTTGTTTGGTTGTATATTTTAAAAATAGTTTTGGAGTGTGAAAATTTGGAATAATTTGATATTTGTTGTAGTTGAGTATATGTGTAGTCCGTTAATGTACAAATCACACTGATACTAATACTTCCAAACTCAAAATACTTCTCAAAATGTTTGTGACTCTGGATACTTTCTATGTCATGTACTGTGTATCAATGCTTTTGATCTTATGATACACGTTAACGTCAAAATATATAAAAATAGAAACAAAC